CTAAAGTCTATTAAAGCTTACATTTTAAGCTTGTAAGTTGTATGGTATGCAAATTGTTAGTTTAATAAAGTTGGTTTTTTAAAAATATTGTTTACCAGAAAATAAAGCAGGAACTAGAATGTTTCTCCATATCACAATAACATTCAAGAACACCTTGTATCATCTCCCTCTTAGAATTACCTCAGCTTTTTTTTTTTTGGTCCCAGGAATTGAACTCATGACCTCTCGCTTGCCAGGCAGGTGCAACCTTGCCGCTGAGCTATATCTTCGGTCCTTGCCTCGGTCTCTAACCAGGAATGTGTGTTGAACAGACAAGTCTTTCTGCTGATGCAAGTGAAAAGGATTTCAAATGCATGTCCATCATTATCCGCATGCCACCTATTAGCATTTACTTTTGAATGCACACCAGTTGCTTTGGTTAGACCTTGTCTCCCCTCTTCCTGGAGGCCCTGAACCTGGGCTTAGGGAAAGGAAGATCTCACTCTCTCCTAGTCTTTCTAAGGCTCCCTAAATCCTGTCAGATTGCTAAAGTCTCCCTCACCAACAAGCCAAAGCACCCTGGGCTACAGATTATGTGTCTCGTGTGTCTCTCATCAGGACTATCTAAGTGTTGTTGAAATAGGAAATAAAAGACAAAACAAATAAATTATTTATACTTCTATGAGTCAGAGGAAGAGAAAGGCTCTGTTGAGCTATAAGGGAAAAATGTCCTGCATCCGTGAAGGTTCTTTGCCAATGTTCAATATCCATTACGTCAGTTCTTTAAAGCCTATAAATCTGAGGACGGTGTAATTTGTGGTAAAATTCTAGGCAATACTTTAAAGTAATTGTATTGAGGTTTGATGACACTGAACCTCCCTTCCACGACTTTTACACAGATTCTTAACAGCAGGCCAGGACAAGTAGATTTGTTTCCTCTCCTGACAGAATAATGTGGCGCCAAGAGGTCATTTTTCCTCAGCTGCTGCTGAGCTCAGCACTCATCCATGGTTGCCCTGCTCTGTGTGCCATTCAGCAGAGTATGGGAATTTGTTCCTGCGCTCTTATCCTCCCTTGTGGTTGAACTGCAGTTATATCACTATTTCGCCTGTAGGACCACACTGCCCCTTGTCTGGGATTTGGGGGAAATTGAAGCAAGTGGAAAGCTCCTGGCTGTCCCAGAACATGGACAGTGCACCAAAGCTTCCCTTACACCAGCACAGAGTCTTTGCTGGAGCTCTGCTAGTCTGTCACATTCCTGACCTGCTTCTTTCTAATGCCCTCTAACCCCTCCCAAGGGATATTTTCTCACTCTTGTCTTATGTGTCATAAAATCCTCCCTGTTTGCCTGGTTCCATCCCTATGACCCCAGGAATCCTACAGTGAATCTTGTTCTTCCTCATCTAGACCTCAACGACTCACCGCTTTCCAGGAGTGCAGAAAGCATGGGAATCCCATGCTCCTACCAAATGGTTACTGCCACATCTCCTCTACTGTAAAGACTTTCCAAGAAAAACACAGAAAGTCCCCACCCCCAAAATGAATTCAATTGATTTTTTGAAATTTCCACGTATGTAAATATTATGTATCTGTTTTCCTAAATTAGAAGTTTCCTTAGGGAAGACACCTTATCTTCCTATGCATTCTTACCTGGAAGTGTCCAGCCTGTAGTAAGCATTTGAGAAATGCTGGTTGAATCTAACTAAAACAAACATTTTCATTTTTAAGTAGGAGAAAACCACACTGGTCCAGTTGGAGCTGCTTCTGTATGGAAGAAATGGAGTGTACAGCTTCCCAGTGTGTGTGTATGTGTCAGCTGGGGTGGGGAAATGAGATGGTTGTTTATCCACCTCCTACAATCCACTTTTAAGCTCCACAAGCTTCCTATGCCATGCCACAGCTCCTCCTTTCTCCTTTTGAGAATCTCCGCATGAGAGACATTACTAAGCCAGCATGTGGTAGTGCCAGTGTGCAATAGAACAGAAAGAATTTGGGAACAACTCATGCAATGACGGACAGTCTTATGGAGCTTGCAGCAATAACTATTTACCGGGAGACATGATATTGGGTGACAACAGAATTTATCACCAGCCTGTGAGTGCTGGGGAGAAGTGGGGCAGGCCATGAAGAATGAATCAACACAGTGTAACACAACATTGCTCAACATAAAGACTCAGAGACACCAGAGTCACTACACCCAGCAGGCCAGGCTGAGGAGGAGGTGCAGAATTCAGTGAATTTTAAGAAATCAGAAGCTACTGGTTGACTTCTTGATGATAGCCATTGTTTTGGGGGTGAGATGGAATCTCACCATTGTTTTGATCTGCATTTCTCTAGTGAGAAATGATGTTGAACATTTTTTCATAGATGTATCTACCATTTGTTTTTCCTCATCTGAAAAGTGTGTATTCATCTCAGATGCCCATTTTTGGATTGGATCTTTGAATTTTGGAGGCCTACTTTTTTTTTAATTCTTTATATGTTCTAGATAGAAGTCCTTCATCTGTGGGACAGTAGGCTAAAATTTTTTTCCCAATTCGTGGGTTTTCTTTTTATTCTGTTGGTGATTCCTTTTGATGTGCTTTTGTGTTGTTTTGTTTTTGTCTCTGTTGTTGTTGTTTTCTTTTCTTTTCTCTTTAAAATTAAAAAAATGAAATCATAAGCTAAGTGAACAGCTCGCTGTGGAGGTGAGGCTAATGTTATCTGCTGTTATCTGTTTACAGTACACAAACAAATGAAATATTGGAACCCACTCTGACACAAAGGAAGAAAACCTCAAGCACAAAAAGGGTCCTCACATGACTCTTTGAGGACATGGAAAAACCAGTCCAGTGAATGTAGCACTACATTTGACATGCAGTCTGAAAACTTGAAGAGCAAACCAGTGATTTCTGCCTCATGCTAACTTCCTAAAATTCTAAGACCTCAGTTTCTCTAAGAATCTTTACAGACACACACCTATACATACCACACCCACCCTCATCCTGTTCTACACACAGACCCTGCCCAGACCCTCTTACCCATCCTCTGTTCAGAAATGATTCTGTTCTCCAGACTTTTCACTCACCACATCTACAGATGGGAATAAGCAAATGGTCTTAACTGATCAGTTCTGTGATCTCCTTCCTACCAAGTCCTGCTTTATAGGACTAAAATCCTCTCAGAAGCAATGATTGCAGCAAGCACCTGAGCTCTTGTATCCTCTTGTCTACAGTACAGGACAGACTAGCTTTCCTTTCAAGGTTGTCTTTTGAGACTAGTTCTCTTCCCAAGCTACTTTCCTCATTAAGAACTTTTTTTAAAGTTCTCAAATGGTTCAAGCCAAAACTCATTCTCTAAGAACTACATGGCACAGCCATCCCCATAAGAGTCAAAATATTTTATCTGTCTCTCCACAATTTTTTCACATGGCAATAATAATAAAGTTTTAAGGATAATATTAGACTAAATGATTTTTATTCTTCTTGCACATGTCAAATCAAGGAGACTGGGGTCTAATGTCAAGTCAACTCAACTCTAAGACAAATGAGGCACTATTATGCAGATAATCTATACTATGTTCTATTGGTCTGTTTAATTAACTCAAGCCAAGAAGTAGTTTATGGGGAAAATTAAAATTCATCACAGATAAACAGTGATTAATTACATATGAAATTACAAGTCTTATTCAATTCTTAGCATGAGAAGAAATAGAGACAGAATAAAAGTGATCTAAAATGAGTAGGGTATGGATAGAGAAATACTTGGTACTATGGAGGTAAGGCATGCTATTCTTTTTTTTTATTTTAAAGAGAGTAATAAATGGGAAACAAAAAAACAAAGAAACAGAATAGTAGCAGCATACCAGTACCACAAACAAATCAAAGTAAGAGCATTCAAAGTAATACAGTCTCAAGACAAAATAATACAAATCATCAGCGGTTGTTACGTTACATGTCGCTATCCTCAACTACATTGCTCAGATTACCAGATGTAAGAATGAAAGATTGCTCAAATCATTATAGGGAATAAGAAAACAATTCTTTGATAAAACAGTAGAGATAATACAGAGTTTTACTAGACAAGATGGTAGTTCACCGTTGTAATTCCATTGCATATTGTTACCTTCAAATCAGTTGCTCAGACCATCAGACACAAGCAGGCACAATCAATCAGAACATAAAAAATTGTAGTCATTAACTGTTCATTTCAATATACTGTCAGACATCAGGAATACAGTTATTGCAGCTATTCATATATATATTTATATTTTGCCTTCCTTCTTTCTTTTTTCTTCTTTCCCTTACCCCAGTTGTTTCTTCATTTGAGCAATTTTTTTCCCTTTCCTATCATCTATTGTGTGTTTTGAGTGTTACCTAGTCTTTCAGGTTCCTACACCAAGGAGACAATATGATGTTAATCCATCTGCGTCTGATTATTTCTCCTATGAGTATGGTCTCTAGTTGCATGCATTTACCTATAAAAGCTGTGAGATTATCTTTTTTAATAGCTGAGTAATACTCCACTGTATAAATATACCACATCTTTTTTATTCATTCTTCAGTGGATGGGCATCTGGGTTGTTTCCAAGATTTAGCTATAACAAATTGTGCTGCTATAAATAGGGGTGCACATATATCGGTATTCTTTACACATTTATAAAATGGATAAATGTTAGCTTGTAATGAGTTTCAATGATAAAGTGTTGACAAAATTATACCTACTGGCCTTTTAGACATTATCAGAGACTGCTTTCCCCCAGATTAAGTGGAAATCAAAACTGACAAGGCATTTGACAAGGCACTTTATATAAAGTTCCAGAGCCATTTTGGAAGGGAGAAGGGCATAATATTAGTAGAACAGATTAAATATAAATTTACTAAGTTGCTGTCAAAATATATACAAGATTATCTGATAAGCAGGCCTTAAGTCACAAACTAATGTTATTTTTTTTCTAGAACATCACCGATATCAGGGACAGGCAGAAAAATAAGCTTTTTATCCTTGCAAACCCATGTCAAGAAACTTAACTATTCACTCACCTGAGACAGCCCAAATTTAAATTAAGAAGCTAATGCTTCTTTGTTTGCCAGAAATGCAGTGTTCCTGGAAGCAAATATGGGAGTTCTGGCTCAAAAGGTTTTCTGAAAGTCTCTTACACATTGATCTTCATCCTGTTGCGTATCAGAAGGAGATTACAGAAGCAGCATTAGACAGATGGCAATACAAATGCATTAGCATGCTCTCAGATTCCCAGTATTAGAAAGAGGACACTTCACCCACCCCTCTGACTGGTACTTCTTTTGACAAACCATTATTCTACACGAACTTGCAAAGTTCTCTTCCAGTTGATGTGGAAAAGAAGAATTAACTATTTTTAACAGCAAGGCACTTATTTCCTTCAGCTGCCAACATACTGCTTCCGACTAGATGGATGAGTCATGTTTTATAAATGAAAAAGTAAGGGGAAAAAGGACTAGTTCCCCACAGGTGAAGGGACCACCTTAGCACTCTGTCTTCACTTATGTCAGCTGTCTCTAAGATGGTATTTCTCAGCAACAGACCTTGACGAAAGCAATGAGGTAGGATTACTTTTCTTTTGTGGGATTGTAAATTCCAGGACGTTTAGCATTCCTCAACTTCACCAAATGTTATTATTTCTCCCAGCCAGTGACAACCTGAAATCCCCCAGACATTTCTGAGTGCCTCTAGGGGATGCTTCTCAATGTGTTGAATACCTGGGTGAATACTTCCTGCATCATAGACTGAACAGTTGAGACTCTTGTTTTGTTCTTAAACAAAAATAAACTCCATTTAAAATATATTTAGAAGCTAGAACTATACATGAATACTTTATAGTAAATGGCTAGGGCTCCATAAATCTAAGCGTATTGACTTATTTTCCTTCCTCTCTAGGAGAAATCTGTAATCAGTCATCTCAAGATTGATTTTTATCATCCAAAGTTTGGCTCAAACTCTTTATGCAGATGCTTTTCCCAGAAGACAGATGATGGTAGTTGAATGGCTTGGAAGACCGAAAACATCAACTGACACTTAACTCATTAAAAAGAGAGAATCAAGCACCAACCAAAGACAGATAAAGAAGGCTCCTACCTGCAGGAGAAAAGCAGTTCAGGACACAGCTGGCAACATCTGCCCCAGGTCTCAGCTCAGTGAGAGTTAGGAGGCCACGCCTTCCTCACCCATGAAACAGCCTCCATGTTGTAGGTTCTCAACCAGATTCCTCACGTGTATGTTCCAGTGTTGCCCCTTAGCAGCTGAGCTTTCTTGAACAAATCATTTAATCTCTCTGAGTCTTGCTTCCCTTTTCTATGAAGAGGTCTCCCACAAGGAATGGCTGAAGGGTCATAACAGCATCCAGGAGGTAGTCAGTTTATTTTTGTTGTTGTTGTTATTACGTTTACTATGGTAATAAGATTTAACATGAAGGGTACTCTCTTAGCATTAAATCTACTCTCTTAAATTTTTAGGTGTTCAATAAATGATTCTTCACTATAGGCACCATGTTGCATCACAGATCTGTAGAGCTTATACATGTGACTTAGTAGAAACTTATATCTCATTGATTAGTAATTCCCCATTTCTTCCTCCCCTCAAGCCCTGGAAACCACTGTTCTGTCCTTTGATTCTATGAATGTGACTATTTTAGAAATCCCATATAAGTGGAATGGTGCTGTATTTGTCTATGACCCACTTATTTCACTTAGTATAATGTCCTTATGGTTCATCCATGTGGTCACATATTGCAAGATTTTCATGTTTATTTAAGGTTGAATAATACTCCATCATAGGACAGCTTTAAGCATTTACCAGAACCAGCAAACAAAAAACCAAGCAGCCTAAGAAGACCTACCCTGTAGCTTTCTCTCTTGTCCCTACTCCACCCCCACCTCCTCCAACACAGGCTGAAAGCAAAATAATAGCCATGCATGTTCAGGGAGATGGATAAAAAGAAAAACAGAGCAAAACCCAGTAATCATCAATGCCACTGTACCACTTCTCTGAAGGCCTGAAATGCTGAGAGAGAAAAATGAATCTTTGAGGATGGGTTGGAATGAATATTAAGGGTTGGTTAATATCTATCAGGAGATAGTCTACAACATTGAGACTATGTTTTTTTTAATTGCTTAAGAGAAAACCAGAAAGTCTTTCAGCCTACTCATGATTTTATCCAGAGTCAAAGAAAGATTACTCTCACAAAATGCAATTTTTAAATAATAGCAGGTGATAAATTTTGCATTTTGATTATGCCTTGAGTTGTGCTTATTTGAAATATCTCCTACACTATTTTTATTCCTCCCAGACCACCCAATCTAAATTAGTCACTAACAGGAAATTGCCACAATTATGTCTGTTTGTTAATATATTTTTGTTCTTCTATTTTTAAAATTAGAAAAGGAATCAATGAAAAAAATAAAAATAAATTAGTCACTGAGATACGACAGTCAGAGTCTGGCATAAAATTATCTACCTCATAGCATGGGTCTAAGAAGATATCTTTTGGGTTTGTTGTTTTCAACTTTAGCATCTTTTAACTTATACCAAATGTAGGCTTCTTGATGATAAGCACAGTGTCTCTATGCCTTTCTGTTGTATCATAGCATCTAGAACATGGATAAATATATGATGGATACTCAATAATTATTTCCTTTTTTAGTAGCATAAGCATTTGGTGTTATTCCATAAATATTTTCTTGCAAATATTGTTTTCACAAATTTCAGGGCCAAACAGAAACTGAATTTTGCTCTTCCATTATTTAAAGAAAACATTATTCATGTACAGTAAGTCTCCAACTTACGAATGAGTTCCATTCCAGGAGAACAGTTGTAAGTCAGATTCATTCCTCAGTTTGCTTGCAAATATCCTGGGCTCTCATAGAGCACTACACCATTGTACACTATCACACTGTATAATAAGTACACAGCAGCACAACTGTGACCATGTCCAGTAGACACGTGAGCTACTTCTGTAATATGTTAGCATCTGCGAATGTATTTGCAATGCAAGGTTAATTTGTATCTGTGAAAGTTTGCAACTTAAATGTTCGGAAGTCAGGGACTTCCTGTATTTAGACAGTGCTGACAATTCTGTTTGGTGGTGTGTTTTTCTTTTTTAGTTACGTATCAGTAATTATTTCTTAAGTGAATGAATTCTGATTGTGTGGTTGACCTCAAAGCTGTATTAATGCACCACTTTACTTCAACTACATTTTTTATCTAAGTGATATGAACATAGTATGAGCGTCACTTAAAACTGGAACAGTCAAGCTGATTCCTTTACCAAATTAGCAAAATGGACAGAGAATGGGCAGGACTTATTTTAGTACAAGCACAGATGGAAGAGGGGTAAAGACTGTAAGCTTTGGTGAAAAAAAAGAGAACCTTAAAAAAATAGAATAAAGAGTCTGAATCAATAAGTCAGACTGACTTTTGTAGTCAGTGCATCTAAATGTCCAGCCATGTACCTCCCACTTTGCGTGATACCCAGCCAGTTCCACACAGTTCTCTTCCGTATAAACTTTCTGCTAATTGCACAGTCATTTTCTATATTTGTGGCATCTAAATCCAGGACCTACGAAAATTCAATCAACATAAATAATCACCAGCCAAATAAAAACATAACATCCCAAGTTGCCTCCCAGCAAGCACTGATTAGAATGGATGAATTTCTCTTCCAGGATGGAAATTTGTCTCCCAAATCTTAATTCTTCAAGGAAAAAGAGCCAATCATATACAGTGTATTCCACTTCTGTCTTGAAGGGTGAACTGTGACAGCCATTGCCCTCTAGCCATAAACAAATCAGAAACACACACACACACACACACACACACACACACACACATATAAATATTTAAAACACTGGAAAACAGGAATCTCAGGGCTGTGACTGTGGTGACTCGGACAGTGCCCCAGTTTGCTGTCAGCAGGCAGAAACCCCAGCTCAGGGATAGGAACCAAAAAATGAGACCCATGTTCTCATGAAATTGAGAGGACAAAGATCAGAGTACAGGAGTACTGCAGTGGCTGGAATTTGCAACATAGAGTAAAAGAGGAAACATATATGGAGAGAGCTCTGGAACTCTAACAGCGATTCCCTGAAAGTCTTTGACTGAATACAGATCAGTGCATACATGAGAACATTCCTGAGATTGGAAAAGAGCCCCAGAAGCAGATGGCTGAAACATTCTAGAACTCGCACAGGTTTCAGAATGTTTCCTGATCCCATTATCCAAAGTGTAATACTTGAAACACTGGTTAGAGGTGTAAAAAGGATTATGCCTTAGTTTTGAGGCTAAATTAATGGCAAATAAAAGTTATTCCAAAGCTATTTCCTCAAAGCCTAACAGCAAATGTTGAAAGGATCCAGTGCATGAGTTGCTTCACTGAATGCCAAAACAAAAGCTAACATGCTAAAGAACTACTGTATCATAAAACCTACAACCAAACAACACAAAATTCACAATAGTCAGCATCTAATTAAAATCTTCAGATATACAAAATAAAAAAGGAAAAAGAAATTTAACTCCTTTAAGGTATAAATCATCCATAAGAAATGACACAGAGAATGGAATTATAAACACTTAAAAATGCTATGTCTTCTAAATATATCAACAATATACAGAAAAATATCACCTTAACAAAGAGTTAAATGACATATATAAGAAAGACTCAAATGGATCTCCTGGAGATAAAAAACAAGTAACTAACATAAAAATAGAGCAGATAAGATTAGTATCACATCAGACAGCGCAAAATCAAGACACATAAAGCTAAAGACAAATACTAAAATAAAGCCTACTCTAATGGTTAATACATTGTGTCAACCTGAGAAGATTAGAAGTTTAACTAAGTAACTCAGCAGTTCTACATCAGAGGGTATAGAGGACATGCCCTAGGGAAGCTGTTTATGCTTGTGGATGTTGTAATGGTTGATTCATTGTGTCAACTTGAGAAGTTTAGAAGTTTAACTAGGTGGCTCAGCAGGGGTCCGGGGTCCTCACTTTGTAAACATCCTGAGCCTGTGCAAGAGGAGGGCACAGAGATGGTGTGAGTGCTACACCTACGTTAGGGTGGGTAGCCTGCATACAATATAAGAGAGGAAAAGAGGCTGGCTGCCCCCGTTTTGCTCTTGTTGCTTTTGCTGTCTGCCACCATCATGAACTGTTGCCCCTGCACTGCACCACCCTGCTTTGGAGACAGCTGATTACACGCTGAAACCACCACAAACTGTGAGCTAAATAAATCTTTCTTTTCTTAATTTTGGGTGTCAGGTACTGTGTCTCAGCAACAAGAGAAAAGACAAGGAGTGAATCAATTTTCTTTACCTTCCTCAGTTCTCCAGTTCTCAGTTCTTAGTTTTTCAGTTCTTTAGTTCTCCACCTGGATGATCTTGAAGTCACCTCC